GACGGCACTTGGGCGTTGGTGGGGACGTCCATGGTGGAGTTGGCAGCAAAGATCTTGGCTAGCACTTCCGCCTTGGCCTCTGAGTCGAATACAATAGTTCCATCCTGACACGTAAGTGGTGGAAGGCTACTGTGTGAGAAGTTCTTCTCAATCTGCTTGGCCAGCGTCCAGAAAGACCGACTGCCATTGCGCTGCGACATTACCCTGTGCCTAACTTTTATATCATGCTGGGTTTTGGCATTGCGAACCGCTTCGTTATATTTGTTTCTGGACTCGACGTCGGCTTGTCTGTTCTCTACAGTGGGGTTTTGTAAGTAGGTTCTGTGGGCCTTGATCTTCTGCTGGCGAGCAGTGTAACACGATTTGTTGAACCAGCCGTTGGACCCTGGTTTAGGAACTTTCACTGTGTGAGGGATGTATTCCTCCATTCCGACGTGGATAATTTCGGTTATTGAAGAACAGACAGTCGACGCATCCGCGTCAGTGAAACAGACGTCTCTCCAAGGAAAGCTAGAGAAGAAGTCTCTGAGCCCTTCCCAGTCGGCATGTCCGTAATGCCAAGTTTTGCGGCCTGTGCGAGTTTCTGCGGCCACAGCGGCTTCTGACCGAAACCTAACCTCCACAACACCGTGATCTGAGTTACCCAGGGGGGACAGGACGGCAGTGCTGTAAGGGGCAGGATGCGTGGTCAGAAAGAGATCCAGCAGGCTACTGGCGTGTGACGAGACGCGGGGGAAAAAAGTAGGGCTCGTCACCAGCTGGGTCAGCCCTTGAGTAAGAGCGAACGCTTCGACTGCACGACCTGCTGCAATCGGTCTTATTTGAGCCCAACCAAAGCTCATTATGGGCATTGAAATCACCGAGAAGAACTACCTCTGAAGCGGGGTGATTGATGTTCAGGAAGTCGATCTGGACGGCGAGGTATTCGAGTAGGTCATCCCAGTTATGGTTCGAGGGAGAGCGATAAAGGCAGCAATAAATTTGGGTGATGGTTTTGGAGTTGAGGCGAAGCCACAGAATGTCCTTCCGGTCTGATTCCAAAGAAAGATCCCTGGAGCAGGAAAGACTGCTGCGGACAAAAGCCACAACTCCCCCGTTCTTTCTCAGATTGGAGTGCACCTCGTAGTTTGGGAAGTTGAGATGGTTTAATCGGTGCAGCCTCTGAGATTTTTGTCTCCGCCAAGAAAAGCACGGCGGGACGATTGGGTTGCAGGTAGTGATGAACAGCATCAATGTTGCTGTTGATCCCGCAGATGTTCGAAAAACAAATTTTATCTTCGATGTTGTTCCCTCGAGCCCACTGATTATTTCCGAAAAATATTTCGATAATTTCAACTCTTTCGGCTGTGGAATATACCATGGTTAATTTATTTAATAAAGCGTTACAAGTTATCTTAGCAACAAGCCTTGGTCAAATGAATCGCAAACTATGTAGATAGTAAATTCCTTTAAAATAAGTACGAGATATTTCCTTATCTTTCTTCAAGAAATGACGTTTTTGCCACAAAAAAACGCTCCATAGCTATTTTCAACAACAAAATCATAAACAAACCATGGCGTAGTGAAGAAAAGCATTTACTTATTAAGTAAATTCTTTTAGTCAAATTTCTTCTGAAGTAGTACAAACTAATCTGATTTAACCTATTAAAGTCTATTTTAAGCTTTAAATCAATAAATCTTCAAACTACTGAACTGAAGTACATTAATTTTATATCATTATAAAGGGAATTTCCATTTAAGATTCTGGGGTTGCACGTGCTAACGTGATTTGTTGCCAAACTTGTGTCCCTCTCGAAAACAAAATCGACGGGTCTGAGCGTTTAAAAAAAAAAACTGAGCTGCCAGTAAATGCGTCTGTTTCGTTTTCAATGCGCCACCCTGTATAGTATAATAGTAATAGCGTACTATAGTGAAAGTAGTATAGTATATAGTATTAGTATATAGCATATAGTATACAGGGTGTTTCACAACTTATGCGACAGACTTTAACTACGTATGTACTGTTACGAAAGAAATTGATTTCTCAAAAAAAAAAAAATGTAATAAATGTCCTACAGAAATCAAGACAATAAAATAATACAGTTCAGTTCACTGACTTATAAGTTGTGAAACACCCTGTATACGTACACAATTCGTATAATTTTTCTCATTTTCTCTAGTTTACGAGACATTTTACAAGAAATCGATGAAATTCATAACTTCTTCCTGTTGGTACAATTTGTGCCCTATGCCCAAATTTTGATTCCCGTAAATAAATAGTGAAATCGGGTCTTAAAGCTCCAACCGATAGCTGACATACACTCTCGTAGTAGTAGATTCTGGTAATATACTAAGTGACATATAAATCCGAACACCCAGTTTAAATGGTTTTATTTTAATAAAATTTTGTATAAGTACTTAATGAAGCATAATAAGTAAATGATAAAAATTTCAAAATTTCACTGCTTTAAAGCGCTTCGACCTTTAATAATGTGTGGATGCACACTGATGTGCTACGCGTTCTCCAACGCGCCTAGGCATGCTTCTGATCAGGTGGTCAATGTCCTCCTGTGGTATCTCATTCCAGGCAACCACCAACTTCTCTCGAAGTGCTTCTAGAGTCTGAGGAGGACGTTGCAATTTGAGCAATCTCCTACCCATCATATCCCACACGTGCTCAATTGGGGATAAGTCTGGAGATCTTGGTGGCCATGGTAACAATGTGACATCATTATGTTGAAAGAAGTCTATTGTGACTCTTGCAACATGTGGTCGGGCATTATCTTGTTGGAAAGTTGGATCTGCCAGGGTGTCAAGATAGGGTAAAAGATGGGGTTCTAGAACTTCGTGGATATAACGCTGCGCGTTCATGTTACCTCTGATGAAGATTAAAGGTAACCTGGAACCATAAGCTGTAGCACCCCAAACCACAACTCCAACAGTGTGATGAACATGTCTTTCAACAAAAAACTGTGGATTCCTCCTTTCACCACGTCGCCTTCTAACCTGGCACGACCATCGTGCATGCCTAAACAAAATCGAGACTCGTCACTAAAGACAATACTGTTCCATTCCTGATCCCAGAGTGACCGTTGTCTGCACCACTCAAGGCGATTACGTCGGTGTTCTCGAGTTAAAGGGAGGACCCAGTGTGGCCGGTATGAAAACAAGCCAAAACTTCTCATTCATCGGTAAACACTTCGCATGCCAATAGGTCTTCCGTGTTCTGCAAACCATTCATTTGCAATGGACCTGGTAGTGGAGAAACGGTCCCTTAAGGCCAATAATCTTAGGCGGCGATCTTCACGGTCTGTTGTTCTTCGGCGGCGTCCAGTGCCCCTTGCTCTTTGCGTACGGCCTTCTCGAAGCCATGCCTGACAACACCTAACCACAGTGTCTACACTTCTTTGCCCTCTAACTGCAATTGCCCGAAAAGAAAGTCCAGCTTCCCGAAGTCCCACTATACGGCCCCTATCAAACTCACTAAGTTGACGACATCGTACAGGTCTCCGTACTCTAGGCATCGTAACCGATCGTAAAGGATGTCAAGAACCAAAATCCGCCAACGTTGATTCTTTACTGCGGCTGAAATATTCATTTTTAGAGCGTTAGTGAATTAAAAAAAAGCAGTATAAAAACCGGAATGATCGAATGATAAGGCTGAAAATTTTTTCACTTGTTATTTACAGTAAGATAAATACATTCACCAATTGTTATTAAAATAAAACCATTTAAACTGGGTGTTCGGATTTATATGTCACTTAGTATAGATGAAGCTTTGCACTGCCTCATTTCGATAGATGAGTCCTGCATACTTTATAAGTCTGTAGAAAAAACTGTGTAAACAAGAAACACTTGTGCTGATTTTCGGACATTCTTTAATATCTCATCATATTTCCAGTTTATATTGGCGACAGTCATTGCCTTCAACGCGAGAGTATCGTATATGGGTCACGAATTTCCGGAATGGGCAATCCAAATCGGTTGGGTATCATGCTCTGTATCTATCCTATGCATTCCATTGTACATGGTCTACAGACTGTTATTCATAGAAAAAGGCGATTTGATTCAGGTAAGTCAGATCGTACTGCAACCATACCACTGAATATATTCATATTCAAACTAATTGGAAACCTTTCAAGAATACCTGCTTTGACGAACGAAATTTTAATCAGAATAGATAGACCTCAATATGCTCGTGTTTATAGTTTTTTACTTCCCGCATCAATTGGTGAGGAAGTATTGTAATCGCGGAAAATTCCGAAAATGATAAAAACGGTGTCACTCTATTCCTAGATGGAAACGTTGTCAAACGGGTTTGGACAATGCATAGGCCTGTTTGACTGACTTGATCCATCTTTTTGTTATACATGTTCGTAACTTTTTTCTCAGAGAATCTAATTAATGCCCAACATAAAGTCCTTTAAGAACTGCTGACAGCATTGCTGACAATATTTTTTATTTCACTGCTATCATATGCCTTTTTGATATGATTTTATGTTTAACTCCCGGACATGTTTCTCGGTTTTGAAATGACTCAAAATATCTTATCGTTTTTAGAGAGTAAACGCAGTTTGACACCGCTACCTAGTTGGGGTCCATCGAAACCACAAGACAGATCAAAATGGTCACATAAGACGCTGGGATGCGATGTCGAAGATCCATCTCAACAAAAACTTGTAACCTTACGTGATAACGAAGACAATAAATAGTTTTAAACAAAACCAGTGTTATTTCTTAGTTTTAACCGAAAACATAGAAGGCGTCAACTGGCTCTGTTTTACCTATATGCCAAATGTCTATGCTCCTCTTAGATGCCTTAGGGCCTAGGCCTGCTGCACGCACCCATCTAGGCCTCTGCTTCTTATTCGAGCTTACACAGGTGAAAAACTGGATCAAAAAGGTCTGCCTGTCGATACCGCGCAATTTCAGTAAACGCTGAACCAATTTCAGTGTCATTTTATGAGCAACATGCTGTGAGGTCGTAGACATTATTGTAGGTCACCTTGTATGGGTCCAAGCCGAAAAGTCTTTACTGTCAATGCGATGGCCGCAGCGTTAAGTGAAATATTATTCTATTAAAATAATGAGAGCAAACATAAATAAACCCTAGCGGTATACTATTTATTTCGTATAGAAGTTTGGAGCAGTGGAACAGTAAGTACTCTATTAACATTTTCTGTCGTAATATATTTATAGATAAAACTTGCATTTGGCCACAATTTGTAGACATTTTTAACATTTCATTCTCCATGTTTTTCTTGGCGATAAATAAAACCAAATTGACGTTTTGATCACCAACTTCGTACACTACTGGCGAGAATGTATTGTAAGCGCGGAAAAATTATATAAAAATAGATTTTTTCTTAATGTTTTACCGGATGTTACAAATTCGACCATTGAGATCGTGCGTATTCGGGTAACTAACAACATGCAGCTCAAAAAGTTTATAAATTCAAAGTATTCTCAGAGGTAGACGAAAAAAATGCCCCAAAATCTCTTTGATTTTTTCTTGGTTTTACTTGTAGTGGGATTTCAAAATATACTAAGTGACATATAAATCCGAACAACCAGTTTAAATGGTTTTATTTTAATAAAAGTTGGTGAATGTATTTATCTTACTGTAAATAACAAGTGAAAAAATTTTCAGCCTTATCAGTTGGACATTCCGGTTTTTATACTGCTTTTTTTTAATTCACTAACGCTCTAAAAATGAATATTTCAGCCCTAGTAAAGAATCAACGTTGGCGGATTTTGGTTCTTGACATCCTTTACGATCGGTTACGATGCCTAGAGTACGGAGACCTGTACGATTTCGTCAACTTAGTGAGTTTGATAGGGGCCGTATAGTGGGACTTCGGGAAGCTGGAATTTCTTTTCGGGCAATTGCAGTTAGAGTGCAAAGAAATGTAGACACTGTGGTTAGGTGTTGTCAGGCATGGCTTCGAGAAGGCCGTACGCAAAGAGCAAGGGCCACTGGACGCCGCCGTAGAACAACAGACCGTGAAGATCGCCGCCTAAGATTATTGGCCTTAAGGGACCGTTTCTCCACTACCAGGTCCATTGCAAGTGAATGGTTTGCAGAACACGGAAGACCTATTGGCATGCGAAGTGTTTACCGATGAATGAGAAGTTTTGGCTTTTGGCTTGTTTTCATACCGGCCACACTGGGTCCTCCCTTTAACTCGAGAACACCGACGTAATCGCCTTGAGTGGTGCAGACAACGGTCACTCTGGGATCAGGAATGGAACAGTATTGTATTTAGTGACGAGTCTCGATTTTGTTTAGGCATGCACGATGGTCGTGCCAGGGTTAGAAGGCGACGTGGTGAAAGATGGAATCCACAGTTTTTTGTTGAAAGACATGTTCATCACACTGTTGGAGTTATGGTTTGGGGTGCTATAGCTTATGGTTCCAGGTCACCTTTAATCTTCATCAGAGGTAACATGAACGCGCAGCGTTATATCCACGAAGTTCTAGAACCCCATCTTTTACCCTATATTGACACCCTGGCAGATCCAACTTTCCAACAAGATAATGCCCGACCACATGTTGCAAGGGTCACAATAGACTTCTTTCAACATAATGATGTCACATTGTTACCATGGCCACCAAGATCTCCCGACTTATCCCCAATTGAGCACGTGTTGGATATGATGGGTAGGAGATTGCTCAATTTGCAACGTCCTCCTCAGACTCTAGAAGCACTTCGAGAGGAGTTGGTGGTTGCCTGGAATGAGATACCACAGGAGGTCATTGACCACCTGATCAGAAGCATGCCTAGGCGCGTTGGAGAATGCGTAGCACATCAGGGTGTATCCACACATTATTAAAGGTCAAAGGGCTTTAAAGCAGTGCAATCATTTTGAAATTTTTATCATTTACTTATTAAGCTTCATTGAGTACTTATACAAAATTTTATTAAAATAAAACCATTTAAACTGGGTGTTCGGATTTATATGTCACTTAGTATAAATTGCCCATTGACATCTTCTCTACAAGATTATTAGAATTTCAATATGACGTTCCGCCTCTTTAAGCGTGCGAATCTACATGGAAAATTAATGTTAGTTTGCTTTATACACTATGGTCCAAAAATGTTTCCTTAAAAAAACACGGGGTGATGAAGTTTTAGGAAAAAAATGGAAATTAATTAATATTTTCAGAACCGCCTCAGTTATTTCACTGATATTCAGTACGTAGTGAGAGTTATTACAAAATGAAGATCGATAATTTGAAAATGCAGATTGCTTATGAATAATTGCACAAAAACTTATAACCATTTTGTTGTTGGACACCTGAATGTAAGATCTCTGTTTGCTGGCTTTGATTCCTTTGTAGATTTGTTGACTACTGATAACTATGATATTATGGGTATCTCCGAAACATGGATTAATAATGATTTTACAGCAGATATAGTAAATATTCCTGAGTACACTTTTTTCCATACTGATCGAGTAGGACGTGGAGGAGGAGTTGGTGTTTATTTAAGGGATTCACTGAGAGGTAAGCTGGTATTGCAAGATTTTTTATGTCCAGATGGTATGGAGCAGGTTTGTGCTGAAATAATGTTGAATAATCTAAAACTTTTGGTTTGTGTTATCTACAGAGCTCCTTCGAGCAGATTATCATGTTTTATTGATCATATAGACAACTTTCTCTCATTTGTGTCTCCTCAGTATGATAATATATGCTTGCTGGGTGATATAAACGTTGATCAAATTACTGACCATTCTTTTCTAGATTGCATTGCGTGCTACGATATGGTATCTCACATCACCCAACCAACTAGGATAACTTTAACCACGGCAACCTCCATAGATGTCATTTGTACAACAAATAACTTAGCTGATTCATTAATTTCAACTAGCTCTGTACCTGTTCCGAATTTGTCAGATCATAATGTAGTCAGATGTGACTTCAACATCACACGGCCTAAGAATTTTCAAAAGACTGTCAAATATAGAGACTTTAAACACTTTAAACACAGTTTTTGGTGGATTTGTATAAAATCCCATGGGACGATATATATTACATCAGTAACTTAGAGGATAAAGCTACGTTTTTTCTAACCATATTTTGGATTTGTTTGATGTCCATGCTCCTGTTGTTTCATCACGTATTACTAAACCTTATGCTCCATGGCTCACAGGTGGCATAAAATTTTTGATCTCCGAGAGAAATAAAGCCTTTAGAAAATATCAGATTTTAAAAAGTCCAGCTAGTCTCGAATATTACCAGAAATTAAGAAATGATGTCATTTCCGCTATTAGGCGGGAGAAAGCAGCATATCTAAGCTTCAATGAACAACTAAATAGTAACAAGCATCTCTGGAAGGCTGTACATTCATTGAAACTCAAAACTAATGTAAATAGATCTTTACCTACACAGTTGAAGAATGCCGATTAAGTAAACAATTATTTTTCTTCCGTTTTCACGCCTTCGGGCAATTGCAAGGATCTAGTTGATAAATTTAATAGTACCAAAATTAATGAAAGTGCTAGATTTGAATTTAGTTTTGCTACCCCACAAAATGTGCTAGACATTATTATGTCCCTAAAATCTAATGCAGCAGGTTCGGATGGTATAACAGTCTCAATGCTGAAGCTTTGCTTGCCTCGAGTATTACTACCCCTGACGCATTTATTGAACTGTTGCCTGGAGGCTGGGTATTTCCCTGATGCTTGGAAACTATCTCTTGTCAAGCCCTTGCCTAAATGTAAAAATCCAAAATGTCTCTCAGACTTAAGACCTATAACTTTGATTCCTGTTATATCGAAGATATTGGAGAAATTGATTAAACATCAGGTTTATCATTATTTCTCTAATAATGATTTCTTTCCCAAGTGTCAATCTGGTTTCCGCAGTGGTTTTAGTACAACTTCAGCTTTAGCAAGGGTTTTAGATGACATCATTGCTTCGCTTGATAAGGGAGATGCTTCAGCACTTGTATCATTAGATTATTCTAAGGCGTTCGATAAAATAGATCATGAGCTTTTATGTGCTAAATTGAAGTTTTTTGGTTTTTCAGACATACCTCTAATGTTTTTTATAACATATCTTTCAAATCGTAAACAAGTAGTAGAGATGACAACACTATATCTAGTCCGATTGATATAACATCAGGTGTCCCTCAGGGTTCAGTTTTAGGGCCCTTGTTGTACTTAATTTATACTATAGACTTGGGTAGCTCTGTGAAAAACTCTTCTGTGATGTGCTATGCCGATGATACACAGATATATAAGAGCTTTAATAGTAACACTTTGCATACTTCAATCAATGAGCTTGATGATGATTTGGAGGCAATAGTAGGATACTCAAATGGTAACAATCTTATGCTCAATAAGGATAAGAGCTCAGTGATGCTTTTTTGTCCTGCTGTCAAACGTAACACTATATTGTATACTCTTGATGTAAAAATTGACAAGGAGCGTCTAGCTGTCGTAAATACTACAAAAAATTTAGGGTTGATTATTGATTATACTTTACGGTTTAAGGAGCATGTTTCGTCTATCTTAAAAAAATGTTATGCAACGTTAAAGTGTTTTTATGTCAATCGCTCTATTTTGAACTTTAAAGTTAGAAAAAAGTTATGCGAGGCTATTATATTTCCAAGCTTATTTTACTGTAGCACTGTGTTCTATGATTGTCTTGATTCTATCACAAAAGCAAGACTCCAAAAACTCCAAAATACTTGTTGTCGATTTGTATTTAATCTCAAGAAGTATGATCATGTTTCCTTAAAGAGATTTCAGCTTGGTTGGATGTGTATAGAAAATGCTTGCAAGTACCATATAGCAGTGTTTACACATAAGATCATATCTTCTAGATCCCCCTTGTATCTTTATGAGAAATTTGTTTTCAGACGAAATAATTCAGACATTGATTTCAGACACAAAAAAAGACTAGAGATCCCTATGTATAAAACAGCTTTATTTCGTAGTTCATACACTTACAATGCTATCCAGGCCAGTAAACAGATTTCGTAAGCATGTGAAACAGATTTATTTGTCATTGTAGTAATTGTGGAAAAGTTAGTTTTTAATTCTTACATTTTATTTTATTTTACGTAATATATGTGTGTATATATGTATGCTAGGAAGCTATCAAGCTCGTTGTTTTGAAGCGACTTTTGCTTGTCAAAGTTTCCTTTGATTGAGTGTTTCAATTTAGTATTTGGGTAGGTTAAGTAGAGTAGCCAAGAGCTAGACTTCGCCTACGTAGAGGTCACATTATGTTGTAGTGTATATAATGTGCCTAATAAAGACATTTTATTATTATTATTATTATAGTTAATAAAGTTGCATATTTTTCAATGAAAAAATAATTTTTAGCTTTAACAGTCGCGTGCGTACGGGTATTGACTTCGATATTTAAAAGAAAAATGGTACGCCAATGCTTTTTGGTCAAATAAAAATTATTTTTGAATTCCCCGTTCAATTTAAAACAAATGATCTTTCTTGAATTGTTTCCTATTGATGCACAATTTTTGGGTAAAAAAATAAAAACCATTCTATTGGCCGAGAAAATTAATGTAATAATTGAAGAATGCAATTTAGCAATAAATATCTAGACGCTCTGGAATATGTGACTGGCTTTTGACATCTGACAAGTCTCTGGTATTCAAATCTGTTCGCTGTGACATCTTTTTCATTATTTAGTTCTTACAATCCAGTTAATGATGGCGAATTATTCAAATACAGAAATGGCGGAAATGCATTACGTATACGGCCTTGCCGACGGTAATGCTGAGCAAGCCAGACCGATTTATCACCAGAGATATCCCGATCGTGCTTTGAGAGATAGTCGAACCTTTTATAATATTCATCGCCGTCTTGTTGAGACTGGTTCTGTCCGAAAAGGAACATCTGAAGGTTGACAATGACAATACATTTTGTATTTATCCGTATTCCTGGCAAGAGCGGACCAAGGGCGAATCAATATCAGAAAGACATTCGTATTGATTGAGCTACCGCCGCTCTTTCCCCCTGTTCAATTTTCAATAAGAACAACAACTTTCCCTCCTGAAACGATCTACGTATGTCGATTTACCAAACGGTTAGAAGAACATGGAGAATCAACATTTTGATCTGTTCAAAGTGCTACGTTTCCACCTGTTTTTCCTAATGTTTGAATTAATTTTCGTAAGGAGCGATTATGCAACGTTCATACACGGTATAATATCTATTATTCAGCGCCAACGTTGGTCATTGGTATTGGCCTACTTTGGCCTAAATTCTGAATATGCGACATCATGTCCAATTCACACATTGCGAACATGGTAAGATATGCCAAACACTGGCGTTGAAAAGAGCATAAGAATGTAACAGACAATATCACATGTTTTTTTTTTATTTTTGGTATTAACCTATTAATTGAAATCGGTTTCGAACAAATAATAACGGTTAAATCAATATACTGGTTATCGTAGATTTAATGATGGACCAAAATGGTTCACAGAATAGAGGCAAGTGGAAGAACAAGACTGAATTTATACTATCTTGTATTGGGTATGCCGTGGGATTAGGAAATGTCTGGAGGTTTCCTTACTTAGCTTACAGAAATGGAGGAGGTAAGTACTTTTTTTCTTGACCGATTTCGGAAAAGACTTTGTTTTTAAACCTACTGGTACTGGTAAATTCATTATCAAATACCGAAAAATTAGTATATCTTCAAACTTTGCATTAGAGTCAAAAGCGTCATACATTTTGTTCTTCCAAGTTCAGTCTCTCGATTACTCAAAAAGAAAAATCAAATAAAGTTGGGAGATTGTACGGGAATAATCTCTAATGAATTGATTTTTATTTTACATTTTTTTCAGGTGCCTTTTTAGTACCGTACCTGCTGATGCTTTTCTTATGCGGTATTCCGTTGTTTTTCATGGAATCTGCCTTAGGACAATTTTCAAGTACTGGTTGCATAACTGTGTTCAAAATATGCCCTCTGTTCAAAGGTATGTGCCATTTTAACAAGCGTTTGCAGTGTTTTAATAAAAAATAGTGCATCGCTAAGAAAGTAATGTAAACAAGGGTTTTCGTGTAGAATTGCTTAGGCTAACCAGAAAAAATAATCACAATGAAAAATATCACTGGTGGGACGCCACTTGTGGAGCAAGAATACAACTTCGTATAATAAAATATCGTCACTTAAGTTCTAATACCGCGTAACTCTAAAAATAAGTTATATTTGTACTTAAAAAAGTTCATTTTGGTCAGTAAACAGTATTTCAAGCATATGTGCACTGAGAAAAATAACTAAAGTAATTAAAATTTCAATTCAGCCAATTGACATGTTTAATTGACTATGTGGTAACTAACAAGTTTAGTTGGTTTAATCAACCTCCAATTTCTAAAACAGTTCATTTGAATCTATGAAACTAGTCAAAACGCGATCGTTTAATTGAATTTAATAAACCGTTTACTTAGATTGAGTACACCAGTTTACTTAAAATTAATGAACTATCAAACAGAGCTCACCTGCTCCAAGTAACACAGTTTAATTATATTTATTAAACTTGTTTAATTAGTTTAGGTAAAAGCATTTGTCTGGTTTCAATGAATTATTTTATTTAGATTTAAGTATACTTGGATAATATGTGGAATTTAAAAGAACAAATTCATTTTACTGATAATTGCGCTCGCTCAATTCTTAGATATAAAAAGTTTGGAAAACTTGATACTGATATTTAACGTTTTCGAATAAAAAACTTCCGAATTTTATAGCTCAAAATTCGATATTTCTTATTTACATCGATTGTGAACTTATTATATCTTGGATCAAGTTTTACTATGTATTTTTTCGATTATCCAGAAACAGGTTATGTCACCATTCACTAGAAGCAAGAAATTACCTAAACTAATTAAACATTTTAATACAACAGGTATATGGTTTGCTATTTTCAAGCAAATTAGTGTAACAGTAAATTAGTTTCAATTGAACTGATTCTAAAAAGTTAGTTTAATTAAACCAAATAATTTAGTTACTTAGAATCATTAAAAAAAATTTTAGGGGTATTGGAAATTTTTTTAACTTTCCACGTTTAGGCAGTGTGGTTTCCTTTAGCGCCCAGAAAAACATGGAGGATTATAAGATGTGCATGGCAGCCTATAGGAAATTCAAAGACTCCTAAAAACTTGTCAGTTTTGAGTTACGCGGTGTCAGAACGATATGTCATTGTCAACTAAGACATTTAACATCCTATACCATTGCTAAATTTTCTTCATAAAACTTTTTGAGGAATCGTATGTTGAAATATTAGCACTTCATACATGTCGTGAAAGTTGGGACTTTCCCTTTCAGAGACAACAACATTTATAATAACAAAGTGTTTTGAAACACATATTTTGCTCGATGTAGTCAAGCATCAGTGTATACTTTTAGAATGAACTGCAGCAGATTGCTAAATTCGCACAAGTAATTCGTGAAAAACGATCTGGACTCGCGAAGCCTCGTTAGCATTTTGAAGACACTCACCATGAATTGAAATGGTATAAATAGCTCCGATATTGCTGTATGAGTGTGCCGTTTTTGTTTTGTTTTTTTTAGAACCGACGTGTAAAGGTTTTGTTTACGTACATGGCCAGCGTCGTGTTCACGTTTGAACTGACAGAGAAGCAGAACCAGTTTAGGTTTTGTTTAGGTTCGATTTATTTTTCAGAGCCTAACATCACGGTAATCTTAAGACTTTGGAGCATATGCTACTAGAAAAAACTGGAGGACACCCGTAAAGTTGTTTCTTCCATATATTCGAATCACTTTTGCTCTAATTTTACCGATTTTACTCAAAGAAGGTTCATGAATCAATCAATTTTCAGGGGCCGGATATGCGATAATCATAGTAAATATGATCATAAGCACCTATTTCAACATAGTCAACACTTATCCCTTGATGTACCTGATGTACGCCTTCAAAGACCCGTTGCCATGGTCTGATTGCGACAACCCTTGGAACACAAAAGAATGCACAAAGGTACAAACAGCTTTTCTGCTACTTTCACGGACAGCACATAATCAAGGAACTTTATTCGTCCTAGACTTTTCTAATTAATGCAATAATTAACTCTAAAATGAATTTAGCTTAGAGTGAGTATCGCCAAGGACCACGCGAACGACAGCGTTTACAGGATCGCGAATAGGACCGCGCTAAAGACGCCGGCCGATGAATTTTTTCAGTGAGTATGAAATTTTCAAGAAAAACAGATTAAAATAGTTTTCAAAACCATTAAAAAAATGGTGTCAAACATTTTGGATTTAGCAATCATCCAAGCATCCATTTCTTTTCATCTGGCGTGCCACATGGATCAAATTTGGGCCCTCTCCTCTTTCTTTATTTTATTAATGACCTCCTTAACTGTTCAACTTTTCCTTCACTGTTATTTGCCGATAATTCCAAAATACATATATGCTCAGATTATTGACTGTCTAATATTGCAATCATATATTTGAATGGTGTTCGACTAATGAATTATTTCTGGATGTTGCCAAAGGCAAGGGTCTGTTGCTCTAAAGCAGGATATTTGGGTGTTGATCATATTCATACGACAGTACCATCTGCCATGAAAGGTATTGGTTTTTAATACGAAAATTTAAAACATTCTGTAGTGAGATTACGACATACTGCACATCCGTGCGTTCTAGGTTGGAATACTCATCAAGTTTACAGCATCCGTATTATCAAATCCATACCAATGAGATGAAGAGTGTGCTGCGGAGATTTCTTAAGTACTTGGCATTTAAATTAGATGGTGTTTATCCCAGTCGTGGGACTGATTAATCAGATTTGAAACGGATCCTCTTGAGCTGAAGATAATTTGTAATAGCATTAAATTTCTTTACAAACTAATACATAGTAAAGGAGGATCTAGTTTTATTAGGTAAAATTGACTATCATGTACCACTGAAGATTGCCCGCGTTTTACTTGAAGACACCAAACTCTAATGTCATCACCAAGTCAATCATATACAGGGTGGCAGATATGTAACTGACTGCTTTGTATCTCGAATATTTGTGACATGACACAAAATACGTCCATGTCAAATATAAAGAAAATAATATTTTTTTAGTCTTGAAATCCTGAAGATATCTCCAAGTATCGACGAAATCGGTTCCATAGACACACACCTTTTAATATGCAATATATTCTCATGGTTGGTGACGTACTTATGCATAATGAAAGGAATAAAATCAGTGGGCCAGGTCATATATTTCACAGCTGTATTCCCTTTCGTGATCTTGTTTATCCTGCTTATCAGAGGATTAACTTTACCAGGCGCTTGGGACGGAGTCTACTTTTACATTTGGCCCAAGTGGGGTCAGCTAAGGAACTTGCAGGTAACTAGTAATCTTACCGTAGAATAATCTATCTGTATTTTACTCTATAATCTTACATACAGGCTGCGTTTTGAAGAAGCCGTCATACTTTTTCAGCAAGAAATAAAGTGGCAATATACTGTACATCAATCCGAAAAAAGATACTAAAATATTACTAAAAATATACTCTGAAAAAAGTGTCATCAATGTTGTCAAAGGTATTTGAAATAATTCCGTATGACCACATTTACCCCTTGATCTGTAGCTAAGTTTCCATTTCTCAGCATGGTTTCTTCAAGGGTAGATTACCATTACCAATACGGTTGCTTTTACGCAGTTTGTCAATTATATTTTGAATAATCATGGTCGACGTTGAGGTCAATGGTCGTCGACCTTAAGGTTAACGGCCGTCGGTCATGAGGTAAACGGCCGTAGACCTTGGGTTCAACAATCGTGCGCCTTAAGAACGGTCTTACCCTTGACACCAACGACAGTCGAGCTTAAGATCAACGGCAGTCGACCTTGAGGTTAAAAGTCGTCGACCTTGGGATCAATTGTCGTCGACCTTGAGATCAACGGTCTTCACCTTGAGGCCAACTGTCGCCGGCCTTGAGGTTAACGGCTATCGACCTTGAGTTTAACGGCTGTCGTCCTTGAGGTCAACGACTTTCAACCTTGAGGTTATCGACGTTCGACATTGTTGCCAAGGACTGTCGACCTCGAGGTCAACACCCATCGCCTTTGGGGCCAATGGTCATCAACCCCTGGGTAAATGATCTTCGACCTTAAGCCGAAAGAAAGGCTATCGACCCTGAAGCCAACGGTCGTTAATACTGGGGGAGCAATGGTCGTCCGCTTTGAGGTCAACGGTCTTCGACTTTGAGACCAACTGTATCGACATTGAGGTCAACGACCATCGACATTGAGGTCAATGGTATTCGACCTTGAGGTCATCGACTGTCGGCATTGAGAATGGTTTTCCACTTGACCCCAACGACAGTCGAGCGTGAGACCAATGACAGTCGACCTTGAGGCCAACGACTGCCGACCTTGAGTCCAACTATTGACGACCTTGAGATCAATAGTCTTCACCTTAAGGCCATCGGCAGACGACCTTGGGGTCAATGGTCGTCGACCTTGAGATCAACGATCTTCACCTTGAGGCCAACTATCGTGGGTCTTGAGTTCAACTGTCGCCGGCCTTGAGGTTAACGGCTATCGGCCTTGAGGTTAACGGCTATCGACCTTGATTTTAACGGCTGTAGTCCTTGAGGTCAACGGCTTTCAACCTTGAGGTTATCGACGGTCGACATTGAGGCCAATGACTGTCGACCTCGTGGTCAACGGTCGTTGACTTTGTGGCCAATCGTCGTCGACCCCTGAGTAAATGGTCTTCGACCTTGATACGAGCGGTCGTCGTTTTTTGGAGGGGGAGCACCGGTCGTCCGATTTGAGGTCAACGGTCTTCGACTTTGAGACCAACTGCTATTGACATTGAGGCCAACGACCGTCGACATTGAGGTCAATGGTATTCGACTTTGAGGTCACCGACCGTCGGCTTTGAGAACGGTCTTCCCCTTGACACCAACGACAGTCGAGCTTGAGATCAACGGCAGCCGACCTTGAGGCCAACGACTGCCGACCTTGAGTCCAACAATTTTCGACCTTGAGATCGTTGTTCGTTGACCTTGGGATCAACGGTCTTCACCTTGAGGCCATCGGCAGTCGACCTTGAGGCCAACTGCAGTCGACCTTGAATTCAACTGTGGACGACCTTGAGACCAACGGCAGTCGACCTTGTGACCAACGACTACAGACCTTGAGATCAATGGTAGTCGCCCTTGGAGTCAATGGTCGTCGACCTTGAGGTTGACGATCTAGACAGATTTTTCCAAAAGCTTGACAGAATTGATCAAGGTACTTTAGTGAGCAAAATATCTGATTTTGAATTTGATAAATTAATAGTTTTTTCAATCATATCTTTAAAACAGGCCACAATTTGCTTTTTATGACGGTTTTGTATCTCGAGAATATATAGCAGCTTCAGGAGTCCCACAAGGTTCCAGCTTAGGCCCTATTTTTACTGTACTTGAACGATCTGTCTTGCAATTTGTCTTCTTTGAATTTATTTAGCAGAACCTTGATTCCATCCATGATTGGTGTCTAGCCAATACGCTGTACTTAAATGTATACGTACTGCAAATATCCTAACACTCTCAAGAACATCAATACATATAAGGTTGCGAATAATGATCTCTCAAGAGTTGATCAAATTAAGGATCTGAGTGTATGGTTTTATCTTAAAAATTTCAGGTGCATTCAAATTCTAAGGATTTATTGTTTGAAACTGTAAAGCATAAATGTTATATTGTGCATGTGTTCGCTCTAGGTTAGAATATGCATCTTTAGTTTGGAAGCCGTCTTATATAATTTTTAAAATGTGATGATCCATATTCTATAACGGGCATTTCTGAGTTTCATCTGTTATACGTTAGGTTTGTCACTCCTTGATTTCAGGCGTGTTTAATTTTCATTGTTATTTTTGCATAAACTGTTGCATAACAAGATAGATAGTATGAACCTATTATCACAGTGGAATTTCATTGCACCGCCATTCAGGCTTAGGTCGTACCCATACTTTGTTACATCGCTGTAATACAAATTCAGGATTAAATTCTTCATTGTCTCACAAGCAATCTAATTTCAATGTTATTAGTGATGTGTATGATGTCAATGTTGACTGTCTGGTCTTTTTGTTGCATAAATCAGCTGAACGATATGCTCAGAAGAATAACATTATGTAATTGCTTCTTTTCATATTGTTTTTTATTTCCTTTAGATATGTAGATATATGCTTTTTTGTGGGTTAATAGTTTGTCCTGTAAATGGAATCAATTTCTGTTCATTATTATTATTATTAATGGCGAGTTGCTCAATAAGCGGTATTTATTAACGTAACTGCGGGAAAATTAAAATCAATTTGGGATAATACAGCAGAGCGATCTGTGAAACCATGATGCAGCTTGACATCCGGCTGTCTATTTTTGATATTGTTGACTGGCATTTGCACGTTTTGTATTTTCACAGGTCTGGGCGGATGCGGCGTTACAAATATTTTTTTCCCTCGGACCAGGCTGGGGAGGAATTATCAATATTTCAAGCTATAACGATTTCAAGAACAACAGCAAATTGTAAGCTAATCTAACACATCTGTACCTGACACAGCCTATATATGTTTTCTGTGTCTTCCAGAGATTCGATAATAATCCCGATAGTGAACTGTGGCACCAGCATATTTGCAGGTTTCGTAGTCTTTTCGGTAATTGGCTTCATGGCCCACGAGACAGGCATGCCGATATCAACTGTGGCCGCGGGTGGACCGGGATTGGCCTTCATCACATACCCATCGGCGATCAGTTTGATGCCGTGGCCAAATCTGTGGGCCGTGCTTTTCTTTCTGATGTTATACACTCTGGGACTGGATAGTTTGGTGAGTACTGTCATAAAGCGTAATTTTACTGATTATCTAACGCTGTACGCCCATTGAGGAATATTCCCGTGGACGCCTATTGCGATTATACAGGGTATTTTTAAACTCAAAATAAGTTAATTACCTCTATGCAAAATTGCTTAGTTTGTACGTAAAATCTTCCTTTTTAAAACAAATGTTTTCGGATATTTTAAGAATAGTTCGATTTGAATGAAATTTGGATCACATATTTTGCTAGATGTTCTATTTGACTTATACGAAATTACGAAAAACGGTTCGAAAAGTATGCAAACTACCTTCACCCCTACATAAATTATAGCAGAACTTTTTCTCGATGACTCTGAATCTTTTTAATTAGTAGGTCTTTTTATCCTTCATTTCTTGAGTACTAGTCCCAGAAGTCGACGTCAAGCCGAAACCGGGTGATAGGCAAAGTCATAACAGCTATCAGAAAAATATTTAAAAAAATTTTCTGTATGTGTTTTGAAAATTATAGGTCTTTGAAAAAAATATAGACATTTCACACCCTACGGCAGTCTGTCAACTCCTGTTACTACAAATATTAACTTTTTTTGGATTTAATTTTTACAATGTAATGATGAATAATGCATCTTCAAACTGGTGTCTCAACCTTACTGCCAACTTTTCTCGTTCAGTAAAAATTGCCACTTATTTCCCAACCAAGTATTCCAAAGTAAAACTTTGCTCAACTTTAACTGGCTGTACTGGAAAAAATGTACTACGAGAGTTTGGCAAGTAACCTTAAAAGTTGGCGCATTTAATAAGGATTCCAAAATGGTATAACACTTGGAAGATTACTCGTTAACTTATGCACAATTTTTATTTGAAGAAAAACTGATGAAAATTTTTCAAAATTTCCTAATTAAACAGCGATTATGAAAACGCACAAGGACCCTTAAGGATAACTGTTTGCACTGTTGTGCAAAATGTTGCTGATGATGATTTACCTTTACAGCAAATGCTTCAGCCGCAATACACGCTTGACATCTTCTTAAAAAAGATCGGGTTATTAAACTAGCGAATCCACGGTTATTAACAAACTCAGCTGCTTCCAATAGTCTTTGCCGTAGCTCAGCTACATTTTGAATCGGCTTAAAATACACTTTTTCTTTTACAGTTCCCCAGTAAAAAAAATCTAACGGATTCAAATCTGGTGACCGGGCTGGCCACGGTATTGTACCAGACCGCCCTATCCATCTGCCTGGAAAGTTTTGATCGAGATACTCTCTCACTGAGAGTGCATAGTGCGCTGGGCAGCCATCATGCTGAAACCACATGTCCCTGTAAATACTCAGTGGCACGTCCTCCAATAAATTTTCTAAATGATTTTGCAAAAAAACTAAATAAACCTCAGCAGTCGAAGCCTCTGGGAACTCAAACGGACCGATTATTTTACCATTTAAAATTTCTGTCCAATGGTTTATCTTGAAGCGATATTGAGATTTATCTTCTCTCATCCAATGTGGGTTTGCTACGTGCCACTCGTGTAAGTTATGCAGGTTCATGTACCCATCTTTCTTAAATGTGGTCTCATCTGACCATAACATTTTTTCAAAGAATCGTGGATCTTCCCTGTGTCTTTCTAACATTGTGCGACAAAAAGCAACTCGCGGGTCATAATGCCGGGGCAGAAGAGCTTGAACACGCTGTACGTGGTATGGATGGAGCACGTTTTTTGCAAGATTCTATGGGCTGTACTTTTGGGCACACCTGTTTTTAGTTCTATTGCACGCACTGAAGTACTCGCGTCTTCTTCGACAGCTCCTAGCACCACGTCTTCGTAAGGAAGGAAAGATCTTCCCGCACTGTGTGATTGGTTTGGTAGTTGGCCCTCTGAGAACAGTAAGCGGTGCACATTTGTGAACACTCGATGATCTGGATGACGAGCTGCATTCGGGTACCTCTCACAGTAAAGTCTCGCTGCAGCACAAGCGTTGCATCTGCATTCCCCATAAATGAGGTGCATGTTAGCATATTCTTGTACAGTGTACATGGACATAGCGGCACTGCACAATCACACTATCAAAGATAGTCTAAGGAAATCAAATGTTGTTTTGAAGAGCAATTAAACAGTCCAAATCCAAATCACAAGCGATCAACAGTCCAGTTCACGAATCCAAAATTAGTAACAGTACAAAATCAACAAGCACGAACATGTAAAGATGCGCAGTAAACGAAGGAGTACTGATCGGTATCAAAGTGTGCAATAGCAAGTAAGTGATGTGCTTCATCCATATACACACACATACAGCGTGTTCAACCTCTCCTGCCCCGGGATTATGAGCCCCGAATTGCTTTTTGTCGCACAATGTTAGAAAGACACAGAAAAGATCCACAGTTCTTTGAAAAAAATGTATGGTCGGATGAGACCACATTTAAGAAAGATGGGTACATGAACCTGCATAACTTACACGAGTGGCACGTAGCAAACCCATATTTGATGAGAGAAGATAAATCTCAATAACGCTTCAAGATAAACCATTGGACAGGAATTTTAAATGGTAAAATAATCGGTCCGTTTGAGTTCCCAGAGACTTTGACTGCTGAAGTTTATTTGGATTTTTTGAAAAATCATGTACAAAATTTATTGGTGGACGTGCCACTGAGTATTTACAGGGACATGTGGTTTCAGCATGATGGCTGCCCAGCGCACTATGCACTCTCAGTGAGAGAGTATCTCGATCAAAACTTTCCAGGCAGATGGATAAGGCGGTCTGGTACAATACCGTGGCCAACCTCACCTGATTTGAATCCTTTAGATTTTTTTACTGGGGAACTGTAAAAGAAAAAGTGTATTTCAAGCCGATTCAAAATGTAGCTGCATTTGCTGTAAAGGTAAATCATCATCACCAGCATTTCGACGCCCACTGTTGTGCAAACAGTTATGCTTAACGGTCCTTGTGCGTTTTCATAATCGCTGTTTAATTAGGAAATTTTGAAAAATTTCCATCAGTTTTTTTCAAGTAAAAATTGTGCATAAGTTAACGAGTAATCTTCTAAGTGTTATACCATTTTGGAATCGTTATTAAATGCGCCAACTTTTAAGGTTACTTGCCAAACTCTCGTAGTACATTTTTTTCCAGTACAGCCAGTTAACTTGACCAAAGTTTTACTTTGGAATACTTGGTTGGGAAATAAGTGGCAATTTTTCCTGAATGAGAAAAGTTGGCAGTAAAAATAAAATCCAAAAAAGTTAATATTTGTAGTAACAGGAGTTGACAGACTGCCGTAGGGTGTGAAATTTCTTTTTCAAAGATCTATAATTTTCAAAACACATACATAACATTTTTTTAAATATTTTTCTGATAGCTGTTATGACTTTGCCTATCACCCGGTTTCGGCTTGACGTCGACTTCTGGGACACCCTGTATAAAAAACAAGTGTAGTTAGAGAAAATAAAAAAGTATGATATTACTTATTACAATTTTTATTCAAAACAGGCAATAGTGAGAATCTTCCATAAAAGGTGTTCAATATGACCACCATTTCATTCCTAAAGATAACCATCCGGCATACAAAATTTTAACGCTTGATTTAATGAGAAAATTTTTCACGAAAAACATTTTTTTCTCGAAAACCATGCGACGTTTGAGAGAAAAGTTGTAATATGTTATTCTCTTGTTATAGTTTGTGACCATAGAAACAATAGTGACAGCCATTGTAGATGACTTTTCACATTTGAGAAAGTTCCAGTTTTATGTTACAGTCATCGTAGTCACACTTGCAGCGTCTTTTTCTATAATATATTGCACAAATGTAAGTATTTGGACCAATTTTTATTCATTTTAGCCTGGTGACGAAAACAGAAGATTCACTTAGACTCTATTAGAGATATGGATTATACTGTTTCACTGGCTGAATTTGGCAACACACTTGCTTGCTATTTATACTAAGTGACATATAAAGTGCAACAACCCGAATTATTTATTGAATTTTGGTGGAAACTTGTAAAAATAGTTGCTATATTTTTCTGTATTGGTTCCATCTGTTTCATTGTTGTTTCATTGCATTATCATGCCTAGAGTCCTAATTTCACCCAGTTTGGGTTACGTTATGCCAGATTTTCTTGTTCTTGTTCTACCTCTGATCTCACAGCATCGTCGGCCACCACTGTTATGGAGTAGGGAGAGAGTTGAATGAAATATGGAATGGAGCTCAGTCGTGTTCAGCGTTGACTCCAGATTCTGTTCGGGCACAGATGATGGCCATGCAAGAGTAAGGAGGAGACGTGGTGAAAGACTTTCCATCGAACAGCATATTCATCGCACTTTGGGTGTTATGGTATGGTGTGCCATTGCTTACCACATCTGCTTCCCTTTTCCTCATCGAACATGTATGGGAGATGATGGGAAGAAGGCTGCAAGATTCACCGCAACCTCCACAAACATTGGAGGCTCTACGAAGCCAAATTCAGATGGGATATATCAATCAATCACCTGTTCCAATTAATGCCGCGACGACTTAACGAATGTGTAGCGAACAGATAAGCTTCAACACATTTTTAACAGTTGAAGATTTATCAATTTCTATTTATCAGTATACCTAAGACTTGTAAGAGTATGCTCAAAATTACAGCCCTCCAGTCGGTGTTGCATTTTATATGTCATCTAGAATATTTTTATGATTTAAGATCCTCTCGTTTTAGGGTGGAATGTACTGGTTACAGCTTTTCGATTGGTACTCAGCTTCGATCTCAGTAGTTCTAGTTTGCTTGTGTGAAGTTATCATAGTCGGTTGGACTTATGGCGTCAAAAGGTTCATCAAAGATGTTGAGTTCATGACCGGGGAAAAACTATCTTGGTATTGGATTCTGTCATGGAAAATCGTCACTCCTGTTTTCTTGACGGTATGTCATAGCCCTTACACGATTTTATAATGAATGTTTCAGATGACTATTGACTATTTTTTAAATTTTCAAAAAGAGGTAGTATATTTTTTGGATGACATCATTGCTTCGCTTGATAAGGGAGATGTTTCAGCACTTGTATCATTAGATTATTCTAAGGCGTTCGATAAAATAGATCATGAGCTTTTATGTGCTAAATTGAAGTTTTTTTGTTTTTCAGACATACCTCTAATGTTTTTTATAACAGATCTTTCAAATCGTAAACAAGTAGTAGAGATAGACAACACTATATCTAGTCCGATTGATATAACATCAGGTGTCCCTCAGGGTTCAGTTTTAGGGCCCTTGTTGTACTTAATTTATACTATAGACTTGGGTAGCTCTGTGAAAAACTCTTCTGTGATGTGCTATGCCGATGATACACAGATATATAAGAGCTTTAATAGTAACACTTTGCATACTTCAATCAATGAGCTTAATGATGATTTGGAGGCAATAGTAGGACACTCAAATGGTAACAATCTTAAGCTCAATAAGGATAAGTGCTCTGTGATGCTTTTTTGTCCTGCTGTCAAACGTAACACTATATTGTATTCTCTTGATGAAAATATTGACAAGGAGCGTCTAGCTGTGGTAAATACTACAAAAAATTTAGGGTTGATTATTGATTATACTTTACGGTTTAAGGAGCATGTTTCGTCTATCTTAAAAAAATGTTATGCAACTTTGAAGTGTTTTTATGTCAATCGCTCTATTTTGAATTTTAAAGTTAGAAAAAAGTTATGTGAGGCTATTATATTTCCAAGCTTATTTTACTGTAGCAGTGTGTTCTATCATTGTCTTGATTCTATCACAAAAGCAAGACTCCAAAAACTCCAAAATACTTGTTGTATGATCATGTTTCCTTAAAGAGATTTCAGCTTGGTTAGTTGTGTATAGAAAATGCGTGCAAGTACCATATAGCAGTGTTTACACATAAGATCATATCTTCTAGATCCCCCTTGTATCTTTATGAGAAATTTGTTTTCAGACGAAATAATTCAGACATTGATTTCAGACACAAAAAAAGACTAGAGATCCCTATGTATAAAACAACTTTATTTCGTAGTTCATATACTTACAATGCTATTCTGATTTATAACGAATTAAATGACAATATAAAGGATTGGCCAGTAGAGTTCGTACGCATGTGAAACAGATTTATTTGTCATTGTAGTAATTGTGGAAAAGTTAGTTTTTAATTCTTACATTTTATTTTATTTTACGTAATATATGTGTGTATATATGTATGCTAGGAACCTATCAAGCTCGTTGTTTTGAAGCGTCTTTTGCTTGTCAAAGTTTCCTTTGATTGAGTGTTTCAATTTATTATTTGGGTAGGTTAAGTAGAGTAGCCAAGAGCTAGACTTCGCCTACGTAGAGGTCACATTATGTTGTAGTGTATATAATGTGCCTAAAAAAAGACATTTTATTATTATTATTATTATTATTATTATTATGTACCATTTTCGATGATATTGCGGAGAAAAGATCGAGATTTGAGGTTTTCGCAGTATTGTGCCAATTTTTCGTGAAAAGACAGATGGTATCAATAAAATTTTTATAACCCCTTTCGTTGCAGTGTTACACGGCAAACTGAAAATATTGCATTTTGGGACCCCCCTCATATCTCTGTTATTCTTTAATATATTGCATAGCTAAAAACTAGCTCTTACAGGTACACAGTTTTTACGTAAAATACAGTGGTGTATCAAATTTTTGCATTGAGCTGTCAGTTTTTAACTATAAATCAAGCTTAGTTTTTTTAATGGGACACCATTTATGTTTGCCTCTCGTTTGAATTAGAATACACAACACATAATATGTATTTTGAATAATAAAGCGAAAATTCATAATTACACAAAATGTTCATGTATACCTACGTATACTAAGTGACATATAAATCCGAACACCCAGTTCAAATGGTTTTATTTTAATGAAAGTTGCTGAATGTATTTATCTTACTGTAAATAACAAGTGAAAAAATTTTCAGCCTTATCAGTTGGACATTCCGGTTTTTATACTGCTTTTTTTTAATTCACTAACGCTCTAAAAATGAATATTTCAGCCGCAGTAAAGAATCAACGTTGGCGGATTTTGGTTCTTGACATTCTTTACGATCGGTTACGATGCCTAGAGTACGGAGACCTGTACGATTTCGTCAACTTAGTGAGTTTGATAGGGGCCGTATAGTGGGACTTCGGGAAGCTGGACTTTCTTTTCGGGCAATTGCAGTTAGAGTGCAAAGAAGTGTAGACACTGTGGTTAGGTGTTGTCAGGCATGGCTTCGAGAAGGCCGTACGTAAAGAGCAAGGGGCACTGGACGCCGCCCTAGAACAACAGACCGTGAAGATCGCCGCCTAAGATTATTGGCCTTAAGGGACCGTTTCTCCACTACCAGCTCCATTGCAAATGAATGGTTTGCAGAACACGGAAGACCTATTGGCATGCGAAGTGTTTACCGACGAATGAGAAGTTTTCGCTTGTTTTCATACCGGACACACTGGGTCCTCCCTTTAACTCGAGAACGGTCACTCTGGGATCAGGAATGGAACAGTATTGTCTTTAGTGACGAGTCTCGATTTTGTTTAGGCATGCACGATGGTCGTGCCAGGGTTAGAAGGCGACGTGATGAAAGGAGGAAACCACAGTTTTTTGTTGAAAGACATGTTCATCACACTGTTGGAGCTATGGTTTGGGGTGCTATAGCTTATGGTTCCAGGTCACCTTTAATCTTCATCAGAGGTAACATGAACGCGCAGCGTCATATCCACGAAGTTCTAGAACCCCATCTTTTACCCTATCTTGACACCCTGGCAGATCCAACTTTCCAACAAGATAATGCCCGACCACATGTTGCAAGAGTCACAATAGACTTCTTTCAACATAATGATGTCACATTGTTACCATGGCCACCAAGATCTTCCGAATTATCCCCAATTGAGCACGTGTGGGATATGATGGGTAGGAGATTGCTCAATTTGCAACGTCCTCCTCAGACTCTAGAAGCACTTCGAGAGGAGTTGGTGGTTGCCTGGAATGAGATACCACAGGAGGACATTGACCACCTGTTCAGAAGCATGCCTAGGCGCGATGGAGAATGCGTAGCACATCAGGGTGCATCCACACATTATTAAAGGTCAAAGGGCTTTAAAGCAGTGCAATCATTTTGAAATTTTTATCATTTACTTATTATGCTTCATTAAGTACTTATACAAAATTTTATTAAAATAAAACCATTTAAACTGGGTGTTCGGATTTATATGTCACTTAGTATATTATCATATTGTTTATTAGTAGGCCTTGACTTTGTTATATACATATTATTGGTTTTAGCATATTACAGACACACACATTTTAAGAAAGCTAAATCTAAGTAAGCATTAGGGAATTTCATACACTAACGGATAATAAAACTAAACAAAACTTGTAACATTTTATCTAAATATTAACATAAAATAAACCTCCATATCAACCCCTTGACTTTTACATTAACCGGACGGCTCAAAATGGTTGCAATTTTCACGAACGCAATGTAGACATACGGTGGTCATTCTTTTAGAAGCATTTAAAACAATTAAAAGTTTTGAAATGCCGCATTTGTGGCATTACGTGGCTCATCTATTGTCCGATGACGGGTACTATAAATCTTGTTCTTTAAATAGCCCCACAGAAAAAAATCTAGAACGGATAGGTCGGGCGACCGTCGAGGCCATCTAATTATTAGTCCATTAGTACCAATCCAGTTTTGCAGAAAATTATTGTGTAAAAATGTTTGAACAATTCGGCCATTGTGGGGGACGCTCTATCCTGTTGGAAATGTATCCTGTTAAGATAAGCTAAAGGGACATTGACTAGTAACACAGGGATAACACTTTCCAAAATTTCAAGATATTTGTCTCCTAAGAGTAAATCCAAATCGATCCTGTTGCTCTCTTACGAATATCACATGGCGATTTTCTTGGGACCAATGCCTAGTATTATGTTTATTAAAAATAACTGCACTCGAAAAGTAGGCCTCGTCGGACCATATTATAGATCTGGCAAAGTTGTTATCGATACGAATTTGTTCCAAATACCAGCTGCGAAACAGTAATGATGCATCTTGTTTTGTCTAAATTTTTACCAATGTCCTTTGAACCCGAATTTTAGGAACAAATACTTCCTATTTTCCTTATTATACATTTTTGGCCCAGGCTGGAAAAGTGAATAAATATTTAAACTAACCTATTGAAATATACTTTGAAGTTGAGTCATTAATTTTCAGATAATGATTGTAGAAGGAAGATAAACCAAAATATGTGTGTAAAAATAAAAAAAAAATGTTACCTTGTTTTATAAAGTATCCTCCCGACAATTATTTCAGTGCGGACCTGTATTTGATCGTGAGGTCTTGGAGCACCGGCATGCCGTCGCCTGTGAGGTCTTAAGTCACCTGATTCACGAGCCCGTTGTACTACATTAACAAAGGCACGAGGGGTTGGTTGCACTCGATTTGGAAACCCATCCGCATAAACATGTGCCATTTTTTATTTCGTTTGAGCCACGCAACAGACACCACTATTCACTCACGCGTTACCGACTGACACTGACTGTATAGAACGGAATAAAATAATTGTAAAAACATCGTTCCAAATTCTTTCGCTTTTTGATTTGCGATATGTTAGACGACAACACAGATACGAAGGGGGCTATTAAAATTTTGTTTATACCATCTCCCTTTTCACAAAAAAATAGCACATATCTCTCCATCGAAAATGGGACACCCTGTACATCTCGAAAACCCATGTCACTCACTTATGAATAATAATTACAAAAAGGTTGATATAATCCAAAAATTAATTCTAAAATTGATCCTCGATGAGGAGATTACTTATTCAAGTCATTTTCTGTATATATGGAGACTCAACTATTAGAATGCAGACAAATCTGTTTTTATTGTGGTCTAATAAATTATATTAAATATTCGAACAAGATTCAATCAAACTTCAATGTGTATTCCACAAACATCAAAATTTGACTAAAAGAATTTACTTAATAAGTAAATGCTTTTCTTCACTACGCCCATGGTTTGTTTATCATTTTGTTGCTGAAAATTGCTATTGGAGCGTTTTTTTGTGGCAAAAAAGTTATTGCTTGTTGAAAGATAAGGAAATATCTCGTACTTATTTTAAATAGGAATTTAGTACATAGTTTGCGATTGATATGACCAAACGTTGCTAAAATAACTTGTAACGCTTTATTACATAAATTAACCATGGTATATTCCACAGCAGAAAGAGTTGAAATTATCGAAATATTTTTCGGAAATAATCAGTGTGCTAATATAATAGAACAGCAGAAATATTTAATCAGCGACATGAGAATAGTAACGTGCATCGAAAATATGTTCTAGAACTTGTAGCTAAATTTCGGGAAACTGGTTCAGTCGCCAATAAAAAACGCAACATTGAAAATCCTACAAGGAACGAAGCAATAGATGTGGGGGTTTTAGGGCAAGTTTATGCAGATCCTACGTTAAGTACCCGCAAATTGTAGACTATGTGTGGATTCTAAAGGCCCATAGTTTTCATCCGTATAAAATTCACCTGGTACAAGAACTTAATGAAGACGATTTTGATCGGCTATTACAATTTTGTGAAGATATGAGTGAACGAATTATAAAGGATGAACATTTTCTATTGAACACTTGCTTTTCAGACGAATGTTCCTTTTTCTTAAATGGCGTAGTAAATCGTCATAACTGCCGATATTGGCCGATTCTAATCCCAGAATTTATCATGAGGTTCATACACAGCAGCCACAAAAATTAAATGTTTGGGCTGGTATTTTTGTCGATCATTTAGTTGGTCCTTTTTTCTTACCTGGAAATTTGACCGGTGAAATGTATTTGGAATTACTGGAAGACGCCATAGATAGTGCATTAACAGCCATAATTGAGAATCAGAATGATCGGAGGTACATTGCGAATAGGTTGATGTTCCAACAGGATGGTGCCCCACCACATTACGCATTACGTGTTCGACAATATTTAGATCAGACGCTTTCAGATCGATGGGTTTGTAGAAGCCATTGAATGGCCCCCAAGATCGCCAGATTTATCACCTTTGGATTTCTTTATGTGGGGTCATTTAAAAAGCAAAATCTATGCTACTCAGCCAACATCGTTAGAAGACCTGCGACAAAGAATTGTGAATGAGTGCCCAATACTCCTCAAATATTGCAAGATGTGCGTTGGCCATTTTCAACATTTACTTGCCTAACGGGTCAGTTCATTCTTCATTTTTAAATTACTTAATTGTATTGATCTCCAATCATGATGTATTAGTTTTGCACAATATTCAATTTTTACCTATACTTTGAGACAATAAACATTATTAATTATTATTATCATTATAATTATTGTCAGTAAAAAATGTGCTATCATTAAAATACTGGTTTTCTGGACATAAGTATATACATATATACATTTCTGTATATAAGAAAGTTATCACCAGGGACTTAGTAGCAAGAACGGAATTTCGTCAAGTAGACTGACTCATTACTTATCACGCATTGATATAGAGCAGACAGGATTGACATATCTTCAAAAACTTGTAAACTGAAAGCCGACTATTATCGTCAATTCAATACTTCCATCGTTTAGGTAGTCTTAGGTTTTAAAAAATGACTCAGAAACGGTGGACCACAAAAAAAAATAAAAGTGATTTTAATTTTTTATGTTCCATCGTTTCAGTTTCCTGCTCATTTTGAGACATTTTTTGTATGACTTGAAAACTGTGGGTCGGAAGCTGCTTGTGGGAAATGAATATCTGACCCACATGGGAATAATAAAAGATCCTATTCGATTTCAGAAATACTCTATCAATTTTCAGTTTATATTCGTGACAGCCATAACATTCAACACCAGGGTTTCATACTCAGGGCGAGAATATCCAGAATGGGCTATCCAAGTTGGCTGGGCATCGTGCTTCACATCTATCGCGTGCATTCCACTTCTTATGGGCTACAGGCTCCTATATGTAGAAAAAGGTGACTTAATCGAGGTAAGCCTAGCCAAAAATTCGGATTTTTTTTTACAAATATACGTTTCGCAAATCTATGAAAAATACACTTATGCAGACAGTAATTTTTTCAAATTTCTTCAAGCCAAATTGCGACCATAAACAATATTTTCGAAAAAACAGTTTTTTGAGGTTAGAGGCCCCTAGGGGCGATCCGTAGATCTGAAAAATTGGCTATCGTGTACCTTAAGTTGGATGGAACCAGATTTGGATACCTTAGGGGCAATTTTTTTATGTAGTTTCGCGTATAGTCTTTGGAGGAAACCCCTAATATGGCGGTTCTGCGACGGAAACGGGTGGCAAGATTTATTTATTTATCTATATATTTTCCAGAGGATATCAAGCAGCTTGAATCCAGTGCCGGATTGGGGACCGGCAAAGCTTCAAGATAGAGTGGACTGGACTCGTCTGAATCTGAAACGTTTCGTGAAAGGTATTTACTTGTACCGAGTTTGAAAAATGGCTGAAAAAGTCTCTAAAGACTAAAAACAAAACTGTTGACATTACACATGAATCACTAATATGAGTAACGTCGTTGCTGTGCGTTCATCACGTACCATTATAATAATAATTATATAATATTTATTCACTCAATGTACAAAGATAACAAACAATATGAGTAAATAAATATAAAATCAAAACAGGCCCAATAGAAGGCATCGCCTGTACATGGACCAATAAATTTAAGTTGAAACTGTAGAATGCAAATGACAAAAAAGGACAAAAATTAGCTACAGTAGATTATGTATTTAGTTGATGTTCGTATTTATGAGTTTATGAATTTCAGTCCTAGATATAGAATGTAGCCACTTTTTTAAATTTCTTTTGAAATAATTTCCGAAACGTAAATCTTTTAAGACTTTAGGTATAATTTCATAAAATTTAGGCGCTAAATAGAGATATGATCGCTGCATTATAGATTTATGCGGTTGAGGAACTACTGTGCCACGAATTTTGTACCTGGTATAATGATTATGTTTAATTTTTTGGTCGGTGTTTACAAATTTATGGTAGTGAGTGATACTGTGTAAGAAATAAAGCTGTCTTATATCATACATTCGAACATCTGCGTATAATTTTTCAGTGGGATAAAGTTTCGGTTTTTTAAATATCATTTTTAGAATACTTTTTTGAAAAACATCTAAATTATAGATATGTGAGGAACATGCAGCTCCCCATGCTAATATACCATATGTGAGATGAGGCTCAATCAGTGCATGGTATAATGTTCGAAGATATTTTTCTGTCAATATATTCCCAAGGTATTTAATTTTGTAGGATACAAATCTAACTTTCTTTAAAATATAATTGACATGGATGTCCCATCGTAAGTGAGGATCCAAGACCACTCCAAGGTATTTTATGTTGGGCACTCTATTAATTTGCATTTTTTGATCATTAATATTGAAGGAGAAATTTGTGTAATTTGGCAGATGTCTAGCATAAGATCCAAATGGTAAAAAATGTGTTTTAGAGTAGTTAATGCTTAATTTTCTACTGTTAAACCACCGAATAATTTTGATAAAATCATTTTCAATTACATTTTTCAGATCAGACCAGTCAGTGCCTTCATATATACGTAATATTGCAGTATCATCTGCAAAACTAGTTATTTTGCCAACACAATTAATTTGGAAAATATCATTTAAATATATATTGAATAACAGCGGACCTAAGACAGTTCCTTGTGGGACACCACACTTAATATACATTTCTTTACTAAATGATCCTGATATCTGCACAGATTGTGGGCGATTTGACAAATAACTTTCGATCAGTGAATACGCGTTTCCTGTGAAACCAATTCTCTCCAATGCTTCTAATAATAATTTGTGATTAACTGTGTCGAAAGCTTTCTTTAAATCAACAAAAATGCAGACTGAATGGATTCTGTTATCAATATTTTGATTTTATTTGATTTACAATTTTAGTTATTGCGTCCGATGTAACCTTCCCTTCTGTCAATCCATATTGATTTTCACTTAAAATTTTGAATTTTGTGAGGTATCGAATCATTCTAGGAGATAAAACTTTTTCAAAAACCTTTGCTACACTGGATATTATTGATATTGGTCTATAGTTGTTAACATCTGTTTTTGTTCCTGATTTATGTATCGGTATTATATTACCTTTTTTTAAAATTTGCCACGTTAAAACGTATAACAAACATACCGAGTGATTCTCCAAGACGGCTCACCTCTATATCTTTTTTATTACTGACTATAGAAAAACGAAATTTAGGGGTTGCGCATTATAACCTAAAATATACAGAGTGGCCCATCCATGTGTGGACGGAATATTACTCATAAACAAATATATTTATTTATATATAATATTTTTAATATTATATAATTTCTAAAATATTGATAATTATACAGGGTGTCCCAATTTTGACCTACATATCAAAGTTGTGATTTTTTAAATGGAATGCGTCAAATTTTATTGCAAACTTGGATAAACCAATTCAAAAGAAGAAGATTGATATAACATACTATGGTAATTAGCTACTGAGATGTAAGGTGTTTTGTCCAGAAAAACCGTCCACTTCAGCAACCCCTCAATCCGCCATTTTGAAATTTGGAGTGCTGAATTTTGTATCAAAAAAAACTTACACACCTCAACTTTCATATTATTTGTTACTTTTTCGAATTTTTCGTTTTGCTCATACAGGGTGGTCGAAAACGCGAATTGTACTTTTTCTAAAAAATTTCAAATGCATCACCCTGAATGTTTGGATTCAATTATTTAGAAAAATAGTAAAAATATAATACGACTGTGTAGTGTCAAACTATTCGTGAGAAAATGGTCTCTTAGAAAAAGCCGACTAGCCACCCCCTTTCTATTCGAAAACATAAAGTAATACGAAAAAATCTTGTTTGTAACTTTTAGAAAATCGTTAAAACGACCAGTGTTACTTGATCAAAAATCGAGCGATTTGCAGGTTCCACGGCATTCTAGATCGAAAAATAAGAAATGAAATGAGAATGACTGTATTTGTCAAATATTGACAAGTGAGGAGTTGTTGATTTCAGAATGTCACTCTCGATCGAAAAAACAAAAATATATAAGTTGTCCCATTTAAAAATCGAAAGTTGGAGTCGTTTCCGGTCAAGACAAGTGAATATGTCAAAAAATATATATACTAAGTAACATATAAATCCGAACACCCAGTTTAAATGGTTTTATTTTAATAAAATTTTGTATAAGTACTTAATGAAGCATAATGAGTAAATGATAAAAATTTCAAAATGCTTTAAAGCCCTTTGACCTTTAATAATGTGTGGATGCACCCTGATGTGCTACGCATTCTCCAACGCGCCTAGGCATGCTTCTGATCAGGTGGTCAATGTCCTCCTGTGGTATCTCATTCCAGGCAACCACCAACTCCTCTCGAAGTGCTTCTAGAGTCTGAGGAGGACGTTGCAAATTGAGCAATCTCCTACCCATCATATCCCACACGTGCTCAATTGGGGATAAGTCGGGAGATCTTGGTGGCCATGGTAACAATGTGACATCATTATGTTGAAAGAAGTCTATTGTGACTATTGCAACATGTGATCGGGCATTATCTTGTTGGAAAGTTGGATCTGCCAGGGTGTCAAGATAGGGTAAAAGATGGGGTTCTAGAACTTCGTGGATATAACGCTGCGCGTTCATGTTACCTCTGATGAAGATTAAAGGTGACCTGGAACCATAAGCTATAGCACCCCAAACCATAACTCCAACAGTGTGATGAACATGTCTTTCAACAAAAAACTGGATTCCTCCTTTCACCACGTCGCCTTCTTACCCTGGCACGACCATCGTGCATGCCTAAACAAAATCGAGACTCGTCACTAAAGACAATACTGTTCTATTCCTGATCCCAGAGTGACCGTTGTCTGCACCACTCAAGGCGACTACGTCGGTGTTCTCGAGTTAAAGGGAGGACCCAGTGTGGCCGGTATGAAAACAAGCCAAAACTTCTCATTCGTCGGTAAACACTTCGCATGCCAATATGTCTTCCGTGTTCTGCAAACCATTCATTTGCAATGGACCTGGTAGTGGAGAAACGGTACATAACATGCCACCCTTAAATTTCGTTTTTCTATCTTCAATAATAAAAAACTATAGGAGTGAGTTATCTTGGAGAATCACCCGGTATACTCAAGGATCGCTTTGAGTAACGCTGATTTTTTGTTAACTTTACATTAGAAGTTTGATCATAGGCTTTAACACTATATTTTTAATACTTATGGGTATCATATTTTTTTCAGAAAACGTTCTTAACATGGAGGACATTCGGCATCAACAGTTTGTGAGTCTTTGTAATGATGATGTAAATACATAATTAATTTTCGAGAGAATGCATTTTTTTCATTTTTTACCCTCCATTTGATTCCTGCTTTAATAGTCCAGAAACTATCCTCGCATATGCTCCGAAAAGTATTCTATTAAGATCTTTCGCATGATCCTTTTCAAAAGCGACTCGAGTCAAAAAGGATCTGCATGTCGCGAAGCTCAAAATTGCGTTCAAAATTGTTTTAAACGAATCCCAAAAATTATTATTCCCTCTCCGGACGAAGTGTTTTAAGTTTTTTGGGGCATTCTTAGCAAAAAAGGTTCCTAATAAGTATTCTCTAAAGACCGGCAGACACACGACATACAGACTGACGGAAATGAGTTACAGGGCCTTTCGTGATGTCTGATGTACAGGGTGGCCAAATAAGAATGCGAGGTACTGTATCTGGTAACCTATCCATCGCAGAGGTTTGCGGCTAAAAAAGTTCTTACTGAAACTGCCAAGAGCAAAACCAGGAAAATATTTCCAAAATTCTGAAATGGCCGCTAGGGGCGTAACTGCAATCTTGAATCTAAAAAGTTTGTTTGACAATTTTACTATATCTGTAAAGAATCAAGTGGTGGGGGTATTCAAAGGTTTCCGTAAAAAACACCCTGTATCTTCAAAACGGCAGAGCCGATTCTAACAAATTTGGACTTGTTGAAAAGAGCTATTCTTGGGCTACAAATGTTATGATATTTGAAGTTTTGTTAGTTCCACATGTGGCCGCTAGAGGGCTTTTTCGACATTCCGACAGAAACGATTGGTTTTCTCAACAAAATTAAATGCATTGGTATGATTTTTTTTATGGAAAAGTAGCTAAATGATGTCTTTACAAGCTCGCGAAAACCGCATCTCGGTATCTTATTCCTAACCTAAAATTTAGGTCAAAGATAATTTTGTACTGAAATCGCTTAAAAATTATTTTTATATATTTTATATACTTCGAAGTTGAGTCATTTATTTTAACAGTGAGTAGATCTGATCAAAAGAAATGTTTTTTCCCTTTACCATTTTTCTGGTAAAATTAAAGTAACAAAGTTGTATCTCTTTGGAAGTTTGAGTACCGCCCTGTCTCAATAATAATATTATGTGCTCGTGTTTGGCAACAACGGATATAATCCGCCTTATCGGTTCATCGCATCGGAAACAAAAAAGCGAAAGAATTTGGAACGATGTTTTTACAATTATTTTATTCAGTTGTATACAGTCAGTGTCAGTCGGTAACGCGTGAGTGAATAGTGGTGTCTGTTGCGTGGCTCAAACGAAATCAAAAATGGCACATGTTTATGCGGATCGGTTTCCCAATCGAGTGCAACCAACCCCTCGTGCCTTTGTTAATGTAGTACAACGGGCTCGTGAATCAGGTGACTTAAGACCTCACAGGGGACGGCATGCCGGTGCTCCAAGACCTCACGATCAAATACAGGTCCGCACTGAAATACTTGTCGGGAGGATACTTTATAAAACAAGGTAAAATTTTTTTTTTATTTTTACACACATATTTTGGTTTATCTTCCTTCTACAATCATTATCTGAAAATTAATGACTCAACTTCAAAGTCACCCTGTATAGTAGCTTATATTAACTATGAAATTTAGAGAAAAGATCGTATGAGTTTTTTTTGTTTGAAATAATCCACGGAACGTAAATAAAATTTCCAGGAGAAAAAAAATGTTTTCATCAAAAATGTATTTAAACATTACTTGCAGAACATTTATCTACAAAGCAAAGTTATGTATATATACACTGGTAAATTTCCTAATGTGTTGCTCGGATTGTTGTCTGATATTTTTATATGATAGACTGATCTGAAAAAACAGTTTACATTCAAAATAAAAGTTTATTATCTTTACCTAGATCTATAGATTTAAACAGGCGGAGTTCGCGGGGTATTGAGGAGGTGATTACCTAGGGGACAACCTAAACGTTTCACGAATAACTTCTGTTTTCATGACTTTATTTTAGCAATATTTTATCAAAACGATGTAGTATTGAAGAAGGTCACCGTCGGGATCCAAACGTAAATATTGAGAAAGAATTTTAAATACATGTGGTTTCATTGTTCAGACGAACATGGTGGATTATCGACATGAAAACCATAGAATAAATTTCAGATGCTACACTAAGGGTGGATTCCACCAGGATTGTCAAATCAACAGTCCGATATTCTCCACCTATAGGGTAACAGTTCGTCAAATACAGCGAATGAGCTTCAAGTTCCAATCAACAAATTTTAGCAACCGATAGCGATGAAATGTTGAAAACAAAATACTGTCAAAGTATGAGATAAGAAATTACATATAATTTAGTCAAAATTGAAAAAGTGTTCGATGTTTGAATAAAATTCATGTTTTTATTTAATATTGTCGATTGTTTATTCATGTTTATATTATTTTTTTCAATTGATATGCGATTTTGCTAATTCAACATCACCTACCGTGTGTTTTCTATAAACATCTTGCAGATAGCCATTAAGCACCTACTTGATGACAGGCTCTATCAAAAATTTCATAGATATTGCTCGTTTACAAACATTCATTCATTTACTTGCCGTTCATCAGTACCATTATAGCACCGTCGATTGATATTCCCTCAAAACCATTCAGGATTTTTGATATCCACACATCCATAAAGTTGAATATTTTTCGTTGTTCAGGAACTACAAACATCCACACTATATTCACAGCGATTAAGAAATTCCCAAATATATGCCGTAAAGCTACCAGCAAACCTAAAACCTGCAAAAAACTAGAAATTTGCAATATTTTTATTTTTTCACGAGTACACATTCTAGGTTATATTTATATTAGACATTATTTAAATACAGCTGTTTGGTCCTAGTCACAAAACATATAATCTGAAGAAGGTTTAATTCCATGCTATTCAATGACAACACGGTGACTTGTGTGGTTGTCAGCGGCCATTTTAGAGGGTGCGACATGGTTGCCAGATTGTGCATTAATATCCCGTTTCACCGCCCTGGTGTCAGTGGAGTAAGTTCCGCCAACTGTTGAAATATACTCTACTATGCTTTATAAGACTATTTGTGCAATTTTTCGCAAAATCATTGCACAGTACTTGAAAAAATGCAAATGAAAATTTAAAATTATTTCCATGACGCCCCAAAATAGCTCCGTCGGTACCTCGGGGTATACATCTTGACAGAAGGGATGTTCGATGCGATCCTATATTTAGAAGTATCAATACATTTCACGAGTATCCTCATCTGTCGATCCGAACTGTGTCAGAAAGAGTAACTAACTTCATATTACTTTCCTTCTTTGTTTCCTTCCCCTGAATACCGATAATTTTATTCCAATATTTTAGAGTACCGATACTTCCTAAAACGATAAGAATTGATAACATATCGATACTTTTCGTGGATCTAAACATCCCTAATCTTGACAGATTGTCGTTCTTGTCAACTGGGCTGCAGGGTGCGGTGTTGCCTTTAGTATCTCACATTTTGCTAAAATCTTATGACAAATAAAAGCTTCTAATGAAATTTTTTTTTTTCGAAACAGCCGCGCAGGCAGAAGCCTAAATGCCGGAATACCGCGGCTGCTATGATGATCCCAAAGAAATTTTGTTGATACGATTTTTAAACTGCCTAAGGTTAGTAGAACTGGGAAAAGCTTCCTCCCGTAGATTGTTCCACAATCTACACACCCTCGGGACGAAGGAGCGGTCGTATCGGCCAGTTCTGGATGTACGAAGTTTGACACGGTTAGGATGGGACGCCGAAGTCAGGCGGGTCTGTCTGGCAGGAACATCGCGCGGCGGCATCACGGAAGAGAGCTCTGAGGAGCAAAGCCCGTTGGTGTAGCGATAGAAAAGAGCTAGATCGCCGACGACCCGCCGGTGCGAAAGAGTCCCGAGACTGTCTGTTAGAGAAGAGTCATCGATCAGTCGGACCGCCCTCCTCTGGACAGCATCGAGCATGGACAATGTAGTCGGGGCGGCAGCACCCCAAATGTGTGAGCAATACTCGAGGCTAGGCCTTATCTGGGCCTTGTATATAGTGAGAATGTCATGCGGAGAAAAGTACTTCTTAGCCCTAAACAAATAGCCTAGCTTTTTCCCAGCAGCTGCAGCTATTGAAGAGATGTGTTCGTGCCAGATCAGGTCCTCGGTGATCTGGACTCCGACCAGCCGCAATAAATGGCTCTTTGGTAGAACTCGACCGTCTATCGAAACTGCATGAGCGCTAGGACGCTTTTTGTTCGTCAAAGTACAGTACTGTGTTTTAGAAGCATTGAACTGTGATTGTTGCGTCCCCAAGCAGTGATAGCCTCCAGGTCTCTTGTCAGAGAAGAAGTCGTCGCTAGTCTTCTTTTTTCCAGCTCAGCGGCAGAGATCGGCTTGTCACTCTGAATTCCTGCATGTAGAGTGCTGTCATCAGCGAAGCTGTGGATTGGGTTGATCGTGCAGGAAAGGAGGTCGTTGATATGTAAGAGAAACAGTGTAGGAGCCAAGACCGACCCCTGGGGAACACCCGCGTTGACGTTGTGGGATGAAGAGGAGAATCCGTCAATTACGACGGATATCTTGCGGCCAGAGATAAAGTCAGCCACCCATCTGCAAAGCTTTTCTGGGAGGCCATAGGATGGAAGTTTGCTTAAGAGGGCAGCGTGCCACAGCTGATCGAACGCTTTCGTGATGTCAAGAGCAACGACATGAGCCTCACCATGAGACTGGATGAGTTTACTCCACAGTTGCGTGACGTAAGCTAGGAGGTCCCCTGTGGATCGTTGGTGCCGGAAACCGTACTGCCTGTCGCTAATCAAGCTGTGACGTTCGAGGTAGTCCAGAAGCTCGCGATTTATGCACCTCTCCATCACTCTACTTATGACAGAAAGCAGAGCTATAGGCCTGTAGTTGTAAGGGTCGGTTTTAGATCCTTTTTTTGGGATGGGCTGTACATGAGCAAATTTCCAGTTTTCTGGGAAGGTGCCGGATTCATAAGATATCTGGAAGAGACGCGAAAGAACTGGAGCAAGCTCCGCTGCACATCTCTTCAGT